TAACTAAAAAAATAACCTAAAGATATAATTAAGTAAATACTTATAAATTACTAAATTAAGATAAGAGGTTATATAACTAGATTATTATAAAGTATAATAAACTAGTTATTATTTATAAAAAAATTATTAAAATTATTAATAATTTAAAATAATTTTAATTTATAATAAAAAAATAAAAAAATACTTAAGAAAGAGGTCTTTTTATAACTAAATAGTCTAGATCTTTACTAATTAATCTAAATAATACTAAGTAATTAGTTTTAAGAGTTTTACTTTTAATAATTTCTTATATAACTAAAGAAATTACTTATTATTACCTTATAGTATTTTAACCTAACTTACTTCTTAAGAAATAGATTAACTATAGATTAGGAATAAGCTATTATTATAGATAGATAGGCTATATATATACTAGAGGCTTCTTTTAGCTGCCTTTAATAGCGATAGCGTTAGCTACTAGCGTTAACGTTAGCTAGCTACTAGCGTTAGCTAGCTACTAGCATTAGCGTTAGCTAGCTACTAGTGTTAGCTAGCTACTAGCGCTAGCTATATTATATATATAGGTAGCCTTTAATATATATATAAACAGCCCTCTAATAAAGCTTCTACCTAGCCTTTATCTACGTGCCTATGTAGCTAGATAGAAGCTTTGTTGGAGGGCTGTTTATATGTGTATTAAAGGTTGTGTGTGTGTGTGTTAAAGGCTATGTGTGTATATATATGTATGTGTGTGTGTATATATAGAAGGGAGGAAGAGGGGGGTAAAAAGTACATGTGCCCGTACCACCTTTGCCAAGGGGTGCTGTATATAGCTATAACCAGTACACTAAATAACTATATATATAAATACTACTAAAAACGTTATTTTTTTCTTTTTAGTATTACTTTATAACTACTTGATTATAAATTCTAAAATAAATTTAGTATTTTAGGTTATACTTTAAATAATAAGGTCTATATAAGATATAATCTATTTATAGTCTAATAAATTAATAAAGTTAAAAAATTAGTTTTTTTTTCTTTTTTTTTTAGTTTATTAATTAAATAAAATAAAATCTTAAGCTAACTTTTATAGACTATATATTAACTAAGCTAATAAAATTTATAAGATTTATTTTAGAATTTATATTTAACTAATCAAGTTTTTATAGTAGATATAAAAATCTAATGTTTTTAGTGGTATTTATATGTGTGGTTATTCGGTGTGCTGGTTATGGCCATGTACAGCACCTACTGGCAAAGTGGGTGCGGGCACATGTAAGGGAGAAAAAAATAACAGCTATTTCACTAGCTAGATAATTGCCTGTCAGGCTTCTTATTGCCTGCCAGGCTTCTTGTTGCCTGTCAGGTTTCTTGTTGCCTGTCAGGCTTCTTATTGCCTGCCAGGCTTCTTGTTGCCTGTCAGGTTTCTTGTTACCTGTCAGGACTTTTTAAGGCCTGGCAGCGCATCTTGCAACATCACACAGGGCATGTCCAGAAACCCCCCCCTCCCGCGTAGGTAGCTGCTGTAGGTACAGAGTACTAGCTGTACTAGCTGTACTGGCTGTACTGGCTGTACTGGCTGTACTGGCTACTGTACGGCTGCTGTAGCCACTGTACGGCTGCTGTAGCCACTGTACGGCTTCTGTACAGGGGATAGACGGTACTTTGTATTGTGGCCCGCCGTGGCCCGCCGTGGCCAGCCCTGTGGGTTCTTCTTCGATGTATCTTACACTGACTGAGTCACTTTTTAAAAAAACTCAAGATCAGGGCATTAGTAGACAGAATGTTGGCTGCGGTCAGGCTAACAGCCACTGTATGACCACAGAGGGCATGTCCAGAAGCCCCCCCTCCCGCGTAGGTAGCTGTTGTGCTGTTATACCTAGCATATGCGAAGGACCTGCAGCGCATACTCACCGCCTTTGTTTTTTTGCCCCACTTCGACCAAGGTTGAGCTTTGTTCGACCAAGGTTGAGCTAATGTGCTCTAAAATAATTGAGCTACATTATTCTGCCGCTACACAGGAGAAGAAGAAACATTTAAAAGAGACTGTCTAAGAATAGCCCTCAATCAAGCGGGTTAACGTGTTGTAAGAGCAATCAGCTTCATTATAAAACCATCACATCTCGTCTAAAGCCCAGCCAACTATTCCACCTGAATGCTTTTTTCTCGCTTACTCTACACCCTTTGCTTTATACAATGCAATATTTATATATATGCCCCTCTCAAAAGTACGCCATGCCAGACCACCCCAGCACGCCTTCCAGCTCGCCCCTCATCTCGTGCACGTCGTCGTAGCCGCTCTTGAGCGCCATCTCCGCCCTCTTGGCCGCGCCCAGCTCCGTCCAGCGCGCCAGCACCGCGCCGTCGACAATCATGCGGCCCGACGCCGCCGTCTCCACGCCCACGGCCCGGGAGTGGCTCTGCGCGCCGCGGCCCTCGGGTAGGCGGTGCGCCTTGGGGTGCAAGCCGCCGTGCGGCACCACCGCCGGCAACACCTGATTGGTCAGCGACAGCAGCCGGCGGTAGGCCGACTCGCTGAGCGGCGTCAGCGCCGCCAGCTGGCCGGTCGGGCAGCTCAGCAGGAGCGTGTGCGGCGTCTCTGCGCCGGTGGTGCCCTTGGGCTGGGGCTGCGAGGCGGGAATGGTCCGTTCGAGGAGTACAGTCGTCGTCGGCTCATTGGGCGACAGTGAAAATGTCGTGCGATGTATCAAAAGATGGCCTTGCAGGGACTTGGGATCTAAAGTATGAGTTAGATAATTGACTCGAATGGCAGAAGCAGGCAGAACGTACGATCAGGGTCAAATTCAAAAACGTGCAAATCACCATCTGCATCCACACCAATCATGGACAGGTCCTCGCCATCCGGTAAAAAGTCTGCTACCAGCATGGGAATTTGGCCGCCGCTCTTTCCGAGCACTTTAAAGGTGTACGGCTCTTCCGTGTAGCCTGCGAACCACATGCCCTTGAAGGCATCGGCCATGAGACACAAGCCAGTCCCGCGCAGCTCGCGAACACCCAGAATATGGCAATTCATATCCAAAAAGGCCACGGGCAGCAGTCCGCCGTCCTCGCGCAGGCCACGTACCATGCACTTTTGACCCTGCGCAATCAGCAGCAGACCCGAGGTGCCAATCTCGGACAGGGAGGTGACGCCACCGCGCGGCAGCTCTTCTTTGGCCTGAAGCTTCAGCCTCTTGTTCGTCTCGGGCCGCCCCGGTTCGGGAATGACTGTGACAATGTCGAATACTTGAACACGGCCACGTGTGGGCAAATCTTCTCCCTTGCAAATCGCGCTGCCAACAGCGACAAGCATGCGTCGCTCTTTGGTTTCCTCGGAGATTTCAAGATGAAGTGCCATCATGCTCTCAATAGTCTCGCATGACTCGAGATCTAGGCTGTGAATGACTGTCCAGGCTGCAGGGCTGATGAGCTTCAGCATACCCCGCGGCATAGTTGGCGCAAAGGAGACAACCTCTCTGGCCCATTCTTTATGGTAGTCGTCGTCCTTTGGCAGCTCAAACGGCTCCCGCGTTGAGCACGCAGCGATATATGTGGCTGTATGTGAGTGGAATGAGACTCTGTTCACGTCGCAATCGAGCGGAATCTTCTTGACGGAAATGCCTAGCTCGGCATAGTTTGTATCCGTGGGCAATTGACAGACCCTGGCAATGCCTTTGGTATCAGCGTAAATGAAACCACGATCGCAGCCTGCTGTGTGGAAAGTGCTCATGCCTTGCACACCCTGGCCTTGGAGGCCGACGATACGAGGTATGCTCTTTGCTGATTTCAGAACAAAGCTGGGCGAGTCACCGGATAGAAACACCGTGCTATAGCCGCCCACGTTGCCGCAAGGCTGAAGCGGGACGAAGCGCCTTTGCTGTGTTTCGTCTTCTTCCTTGTCGAATGCCGACGCGCTTTTCGCTATAGTAGCGTTGGCCGACTTTTTGAAGAATAGTGTGTCTGTGAGTGGCGGCGAGCTGCTGTTTGGTTCTTGATATCGAACAGGCTCGTAGAGGGTCAGGTCATCAGTGTCGTGACGGAGAATGAGAAATGGGCTTTTGCTGACAACGTCGCCGAGGTCAGCAACGAGGATCTCGGTCAGCCTCTCTTTTGCAGCAGCTTTGCGGCCGGTAAAGTTGGCAGATAGGAAAGGCGGCGTCGAGGTAAGGCCTTCCGCAACGTAGACTGGCTCTGAAAGATTATCCAAGTCGTACATGTGCAAAGCGCCAGCTGTGCTCATCAAGAACATCATAGTCCTCGGGCTAGCATTGTCATCGGGCTTTTTTGCTTGGAAAGTCCCGTCATAATCAGTATATAGGCAACCTGTTTGCCATTTCGTCGAGACAAGGGGACCCTTGTCCTTTTCAACCTCTTCAAGCTCATCATTGCTGCCAATCTTGGCAATAAAGACACTATTGTCGTCTCTGATAATCATCAAATATGGGTCGGCAATACTTGCACTGACGACTCTTGGCTCAGCCCCTGTATCCTCGTCCAGCATAGGTAGGATTTGACTCAGGCCTAAATCTCCATCATAACATCGGACCTCTGACTTCAACACCTGTACGATTCTCATTTGCTTTCCCATGGTGCCCGCCATGACGGTGAAGCCTGCCGCTGGCTCAAATTCGGTATCTTTCAAGCTCTCAAAGCCAGCATCTGTCAAAGCGTACACATCCGATGTTTCGTAGCCATCGAGGTCGACCTTGGCGACAATCATGAATCGATCGTACTGCTCAGTGCTATCGTATTCGCTGCTGATGACGGCACTAGAGCCCAGCGCTTTCGGCACCGGTTTCTTGACACACATGGCCCAGAAGCCTCGCGCTTCCGGAAATTCGAATCTTCCAATGACCTTGGGTTGGATCTCGCGGTTCAAAATGGCAATAGCACCAGCCTTTCCTCGACCGACGGCACAAGCAAGCTGCAATTCCGATGTAACGCCGTCCCGCAAAAACGCCTCTTCACTGTCGGATGGAAATACTGCTTTGCCCGGGGCGACGTCATGGATCGGTGCCAGGCACAGCAACGCATCTTGTAAGCGAAAGACGGGCTCGCCGCCTTTCGTAGCTCCGGCCCCAGCTTGCGATGGTTTCGCGGCAGCAGATTCTGTGCCGTACAAATCGTCATCTTCGTCAAAGTCATCATCGAGATCAATGTCCTCGACATCAAGGGCGAGGTCAGTATCCAGGGCTCTCGACTTTTTGCGCTTCTCCTGGCTTTGCTTTCTTGACCACCCGAGAACAACAGAGTCGCCGGATTCGCTTCCGATGAACATGGAGGCCTTGCCAATGCGAGAAATGCAAGATACTCGACTCTTGAGAAGGTTTCCACCATTTTCTTGTGAGACTGCGGCGAGACTAATTCCAGACACGGTACGTCCGTCAATCTTGAACGAAATGATTGCCAAAGATGCATCGTTGAGAATCAGCAAGAGCTCTCCAGACTCCATAGAGATGGGCTCGATTGCACAGCCTTCTAAACGATAGTTGAGCTCGGATTGATCGGCAAGACTGAAGGATGTCATTTGTCGTGCCATGGGGTTAACCGCAACACCATTGGCTTTACCAGATTGGTCGATGTGGATGAGTTCGTTTTCGCCGACAAGAAGGGCGCCGCCAACAGGGGTAGGCAGCGGAATGACGCGTTTAAGGTCCTGGGGCAGACCTGTGACTGATAAGATGGTGGTTGAAGCACGCTGTTTCAAATCTAGAGTAAAGACTTTATAGGTCATGTGGTCCCTGAATCCTAGAGCAATTGAGGTCGACTGCGCAGAAGACAGGATACCAAACGTAGGCTCCCGATATTGATGGAGAAATGCGAGGTGGACTGGGTGTAGCAGGGTCGGGTCGAGCAGAGGGAGTCGCAGCACAAAAGAAGGCGAATGCTGCGACTCGGTTTCATGGTCATCTCCATTGGTCGCGAGCGCCGCTTCCTTGGCAGGTTTGGGCCCGTCAAGTGCCTCGTCCCAGTCTTCCATCTCGAGGTCCTCTTCTGCCTGGCGAAACGGCAGAATGGCCAGGTTGCGACTGCCAAACTTAAAGGCCGCGCACCGACTAGCAGGGTCGGCCTCGAGATAGTTGACGTATTCGCCAAAGGGGAGCTCCCATGGCGCGCCCTGCAGCTCGTCCTTTTCGTAGTAGTGTATCGAGACGGTGTCGAGGGCCGCCTTTTGCGGATTCCACTCGGTCAGGCACATCTTGGCGCCGCGGTAGGCTAGCAGGAGGGCCTCGCCGCCCGACTCGGTGTTTTGTAGCTTGAGGCGCGCGAGGCCGATGACGGTGCCGGCGACGGGTATCTCGGCGACGAGGACGAGCTTGGTGTTTTGGGCGCGGTCGCGTAGCAGCAGGGTTTCGCCACCGACGAGTTCGAAGCCGCTGTCGAGACCGCCCCCACCCCCGCCGCGCATGTCAAAGTCGGATTCATTCCTGGTCGTCGGCGGCGCGGGCTGATACTGCGGGTCGAGTTCGGCGGCGAGGGTGCGCGTCTCGAAAATCTGTAGAAGGGAGCCCTTTGCGACGACGAGGTTATTGGCAGAGGCCGAGGTCAAGGGCAGGCTCAAAGAATGAGTGACGGCCGAGGGCGCCACAAGCTCCGTATAGACCTGCATGGCAGCAAGGTCATTCTCGCTCGCCGACCTGCGAGTCGAATTGGGAGATGGTGCTGGCTAAGTCGCGAGTTTGGGTTTGCGATGCAGATTGTAAAAGTTGCTCTGGTAATACAACGCTGAAGCTACCTAGCTGTGGCGCAGTGTGGCACGGTGTAGCTGTCTGAATTGAGGCTGAAGCTCCCGGGACGTAAAACTCTGCGTAATTGCGGGCAACAAAGAGGCTTAATTAATTTAACATAATAATAATTACTCTAAGTTTATAATAATATATAACTAAATTATAACTAAGGATATCTACCCTAAAATACTACCTTATAACTTTCTATAGATATAGAGTAATAATATCTCTATTATTATACTAAAAGCTATAATATCTATATTAAAAATACCTATTATATCTCTTTCTAGTATAGTAAATTACTATATTATTTACTATTAACTCTATAACCCTTTTATCTTTATCTAGGCCCCTTTTACTAGACTTTAATCTTCTCTTACTCTTTTATATTCTAGTCTTATTTATTAATCTTTTAGTAATTCTTACTTATTTTTTTATATTATATTATTTATCTTATTTTTTTATATTAATAACTTAATTTTATATTTAGTTATTTATTTAAATTTCTATATCTTATAACTATTACTTAATATTATTATTTATAATCATTTTTTTTTAAAAAAAATCTAAGCTTTCGCTCTTTCTTTTTTAAGAGCATTAGTTAGGGGTTAGTAGTTAGGTTAGTGGTTAGTAGTTAGGGATAAGGGTTTATAGTTAGGGACAGGTTAGTGATATGTATATTAGGTACTTTAATTGCCCTAATTTTCGGCCGACGAAGCCCGCCTGTGCAAAGTGTGTTATCATATGAGGTTGTAGGAGAAAAAGGGCGGCAAAATAGAATACTTTGGTGTCGCGTGTTCCTAGCCGCTAGGCTCGAGACTTTATCACATCGTCTTGTTCTCGGCCGCGTGTGAATTGTGAAGAAGCGGATCAGACGACAAGATTTCAAGCTTGCGATAATTGAAAGAAGGCGTATCGCCACTTAATTACCATGTACGTGGGCGGGTCGCTAAAAAAATCGTGAAGAGATAAGAGCCACACACAAGTGAGTAGGTAAGACAATGATTAGCCGCCGACCCCTGTTGTGCAGATGCTCATCATACGTATACAGTGGCGACCGACTGGTGATGTTTCAACGACTTAGCCGGAAGAAGGAGGTGAAGGAGAAACCCTAGTCTTGGATCAGTAACTGGGTCGTATATTAGGTGAAGCGCGAAAGAGGTTTTCATTACACGGGAACTTTTATCCTTGTTATGCGCCCACTCACACAAAGCGAATGCAACTGCAAAGGCAGCTTCCTAATTGCTCGATAGTGGTCACCTTGCGGCGTTGGTGCTTGGAAATGACGGGGAGCCTGCGTGTGGGGGTGGTGTGCCAAGTGAATCATTGGCCCGAGTAATCCGTATGTATTTATTTTAGCAACATTGTCAAACAAAAAGCAATTAACACCGTGGAAATTGCAATGATTAGACTCATAGACCAACGATATAATTATAGTAGGCGGCATAGCTAATATATTTAGCCTAGAGAAATTAATAGAAAACTTTCACTACAATGAAGATCACTTTATGCCTTCCTCTGTAGTCATTTCCTAGTTATTGGACGAATACGCGCTGACCCCGCGCACCTGCACTGGTGAAACCAGACAGTCTCCTCGTAGAAGCGGTGCCAGGCCCAGTGGCCACCACTCAAACGTTCATTACAGCCTAGACGTTGTGTAAGGTCCTGGCAAACGTCCGCTAGAAGGTTCAGAACCTCCACTACGCAGCTAAAGCCGGGCCTGTCAATTCGAGGTTGTGTAGTGTTGGTTGAGAAGCAGCTCAACGATGGTCTCACGATCGTTCACGGAGGCCCGCCATAGCAGCATCTCACCATCCTCAGTCTTCGCCTCGACATCAGCGCTCTTCTCAAGAAGCAGGACTTGCCTCACATACCCGGCAAATCGATGATCTTCGCCATCACCAGCTCCAAGAGCAGGTACAACCAGAGAGCCGCAAATACATCAACTGTGTCCATAATTAGTCCGCCGGACTGTGAATTTGTGCGCGATGACAGGACCGTGAGTGCGCGTTGCGCAATTCTTATACACCCAGTATGCGATTCATCACATGTTCAACCTCTGGCAAGCACCGCAGATGCTTCTCGAAGCTTTTTGTCTGAGCACTCAAGCCGTACTGCTTCCTAATGATCAGGCACTCAATCAAAGCCTTGCAAGCCCGCTTCTGCAGCGCTCCCGGATGCTGCTGGGCTATCAACGCCGCCATCTCCTCTGGGATGGCCTCACCAACAAGCCACCGGTGGGCGGCGGCGTTCTTCTGGCAGAGGATCAAGCACGCCGCCGATGGTATGTCGAGAAAGCGATCCTGTCCATTCTCGCTGGCCTGCCGAGCGCACTGGAAAAGGGTGATCAGGAGCAGACGCAACAGACTAGAGTCTCGGCTGTCGCTGACGACGAGCAGCTTGTTTGCGTACGCCTGGTTCGCGTCGCTGAACAATCCAACCTCGTAAACGCTGCCGATGTATCCTTGAAAGAATTCCGCGGTGACCCGGAATATGTACTCAATCGGCCCTGATTTCTGTTTGTTGAGCATGGCGAATTGAGTCGTCATAAGTAGGGTCGTTCGGAGCACGTTCTCTTGCCGGTTCTCATTCCTGATGCAACTATCGAAATCGATCAGGAATTCTCTGATGCCGAGGTGAAAGTACTCTAGAGAGTTCCTCTCGTAGGCGATTGCGGCCCAGTCTGCGATTGCCGCAGATGTGATATCGTCTCCTGGCTTCCATCCGTGCTGGACAGCTGTGAATTTCGTCTCCATGCCGGTGAAGGTCATGATGACCACCAGTGCCTGCATATCTCCAGGCGTGACCTTCTGCAAGACATATGTCGGCAAGTCCCCCATGGCCTGGAGCTTCCTTGCACTCTTAGCGTACACCAGCCCCGCGAGGAACACATGGTACGGTTTTGCCCATGCCCGCAGTTGCTTCCTCTTGTTTCCCTGGACCAGCTCTCGCAGCACAGGCAGACTGTCCATGCGGTTCAACGCTAGATATTTCAGATAGAGCGTCATCACTTCGAGAACCAGAGGAATGCGGATGGACAGGACCAGTCCTCTCGTGACCAGATCCACATCTCGTGTCGAATGCTTGAAGCGCGCATCCAGGACCTGCTCCTGGAGCCCAAGTAGCTCTGTCACCCGTTCATCCAAAGAATCCGTAGACCCTCTCAGAGAAGCAACCTCCAGAAGAGATGGCAACTTATCCACACGCGCTCCCTGCTGGAGTAGTTCCTCCGTAATCTCTCTCGAGTTCACCAAAATGGCTCGCACCAACGGGGTGTCCGTCTCGCCAGTCTCCCCCTTCGCCTCGATGCGGGCACCGTTCTCCAGCAGCACCCTCACAACGTCTCTGTTTTGACCGATTACTGCTATGTGTAAAGCAGTCAACATGCTTCGATCTTTGAAGTTCACACGTGCCCCATGTTCAAGCAGGAGCTCCACCATTTCTCGGTGACCTCCGTTGACTGCCCAGTACAAAGGTGTTCGGCCGTAGTTGTCCTTTATCGAAATGAGGCGGGCATGTGTACCGAGTAATCTCTTGGCCCAGGGTACGTTTCCAAAGTATGCCGCGAGATGCAAGAGAGTGAAGGTAGGCGGGCTGCCGCCGTTCTTCTCCTGCTCCCAGTAGGCTTTCCACCATCCTGTCCGGATGGAGGAGTTCACTTGAAAGAATGGACGCGAGAATTCTGTCGCTAAATCAAACACATGAGCGGCGTGGTAGAAATGTACCGGCCAGTACTGACTGGCGTAGGATAAGAAGGGGTTTCGGCCGGAAGTGCTGGGATTTCCGTACCCGTATTCCACGTGAGCCAAACAAGTCTGCATGAGCTTCTTGTGGGTTTCCTGGCCCATATAAAACATTTCGATCCCTTTCATGTTGACTTGATTGCTCTGGAAGAATTCTTTTGCCGATTCGTGAACCAGATAAACGACGTCTCCTTCGACTTTCACGAGCAACCCACCCACCCTAAGCTGCCTCCGGGTCACTTGCGTTGCTGGAATGGTACCAGCCGCCTTGACTCCTGCGGCCACGGTCAATTCCTCCAGTGTGAGGGGCCGGGCAGCGAGAACAACCCATTGAAGAATGGGAACCAAAGCTTCCTTATCGTCAACCTGCCGAAGAAGCCGCTGATAAATTCCACCCAGGCCTTTAGGAATCTGGCGGAGCACTTCATCAATCTTGCTCCAACTCCGGCCCTGAAGCTCATTGATAACGAATGCAACCCACAGAAAGGTACCATCAGCGCCCGCTAGCAGACTCCGCTGAACCTGCGCAACCATCTCTTCAGAAAGGTCTTGCTCAGAAGCCAGTTCGGCGACTTTGGCAAAGATGTACCTTTCGACGTCATGCGTAGTTTCTGTGTCGGAAGCGTCTAACTCAATCTGCTGATAGCGACCAAGTTTGTTCTTCAACACAGCCGGCTGAGGTCGGGAGAGAATAATAAGCTTCAGTCGTGGCTTTGCCCCTTCCCCAGACTCCACCAAGCAGCTTCCAACGGCATCGAGAAGCTGTCTAAGTGATTCCTTCTCGCACTCGTCGAGACCATCGAGGACACAGACTACCTGAGAAGATGTGGTCTGCTGGAGCAGAATCAGGAAAACCTTCCACAGCGCGACAAAACTGGAAACTGTGTGCTTGGTCGTCTCCGCTCCCTCAAACGAGCTCTTGACTTCTTTAGCCAGGTGGGGCTGTAGGTCGATCCATTGATGCAGGATGCCTCTCAATATGGTCAATGCGGTGTTCCGATTCTTGTCACGATTGCTGCAGAAATAATAGAGGAGGACATTATCACCAGCGTCAATCAGTGGTTGTAGCACCTCGGTGATATAAATCGCGAGCATTGTCTTCCCTTTTCCAGGGCCACCTGAGATCCGGAGGAGTGGTT